GCCAGCAGCAGAACAAGGCAAGTAACTCCCAGTATCACCCAGGACGCACACGATCGGAACAAGACCCACAAGCAGACGTCCAAACCCTCCATCTCTGTACATGATAGAATTAGGATCATGTCCGCTTTTGTACTTGTTAAACCATATTTGTTACTCTGTGTAACATTGTGAACTTGGGGACCATACTTTTATTATCTTAGTGAAGTCAAAACTGAAAGGACAGTAAAATTTTCAAAGTTTTCTTTTAAGCAAAAAAAAAAAAAAATTCTGGATCAAAGCAGAAATGGGCCACTTTTTGGTATTGAGTATTTTAAAATATAAATGTGCTCTATGTTTAAATAGTTCCAAGGTTATTTAAAATGCTGTTGAAATTAATCAGGGTTTTACCAAATATTTGTAAATATGAAATAGGAGTTTATGGTATACAGGTTAGTGAAATATGTGAGATACTTGTAAAGACTTTGATAATACTGTACATACAGAGGGTGGACAAAATAATGGAAACACCACATGAAAAAAGGAAGTAACTAAATCACAATTACAAATGCAGATAATGTGAGTCATATTGAGACTGTATAGCGTTGGCATTATGTGTGTCAGCTATAAGAAATCTGAGAATGAGCACCTTCAAGTGTGATGTTCCAAAGTCGGGACTGAATTGCAGGTGCATTGATCAGAAAAACTGTAGAATTATTAAATACAGTAAATCAAGAGTAAACTGGTTCAAAAATACCCACTTCAAAAGCAAAACAGACAAACTGTATCGGCAAAGAGGAGCAGTGGTCACCAGAAGCACCAACGAAGGGCAGCCTGAAAAACTACCACAGAACTGAGTCAGCACCTCTGGGATCCAGTGCCAGGGAGTCTGTACTATCTCAGATCACACAGCTGGACATTAAACCAGGAACTGACTGTATCCAAGGCCAACTTACAAAGGTACATTGCTTGCTGTAAGGAGCACGCATACTGGTCCCCTGAGTCATTAGATGTGAGCATCATTGAATATTTATGGAACTTTCTGGAGTGCAGAGTATCGATCACCTCCTGCATCCTTGAGAGAACCAGAGGCTTTTCTTTCAGAAGAATAGTGCAGGATCTCTCTGCACAAGGTTCTGGGGAGGATGACATACCATGTCTGATGAAACGTAGCTGCTCTGAAGGCAAGGGTGGTCCTGCTCTCCTTATTTGCTCCTTGACATTAATATGCTGTTAGGTGTTTCTGTTCTTTAATTCACCCGCTGCATGTTTGTAATCTACAAAATGGGTTCATACATTTTCACTTGTTTCAAAGTGAATGAAAAGTGGCAATAAGTATTTGCAAATACAGGACATTTTCTTTCAATTCTAAGCCATAATAAACCATTTAAAGTCCAATTCAAAGCCCTGTTCAAATTCACAGCCACAGTTTTCTCTTCGTTTTACCTGCTACCTTTCCCTTTACACTTGTGCTACTCATTCTGCTGAATAACTTACTGAGCTGTTTTGTGTTGAGATGTGACGGTGATTCACTGAAACCTGAAGAAGTGTCCTGCTTTCTGCAAGCACAACCATTAAAAAAAGCTGCACTCTCTATTCTCTGGTTTACATATTTATTTATAAGCAAAGGGATCCACATTGTTGACTTTGGACAGAATATTCCTCAGAAATTAAACATGAATAAAAAAGCTCCTTGGGTCTTTGGCCAGTGTGTGGCTCTGTGGATCGGAAGGGATACTGGCAGAATGATGATGTAAGCGGCCGTTAGCAAGGCCCTTGACCCCCAAATTCTCTTGAGGTGCAGGCTGACCTGCCCTATGACCCTAAACTTGCGCTCACCTGTCTGTATTTGTCTGTGTGTCTCACGGAGAGTAAGATGGGAGAAAACGTCACTGTTTTCTGTTCTAACTTAAAACCAAATTCTTGGCCATTGAATTTTTAAGTGCTTCCACTGGGACAGTGCAGTTATAAAATCACTCAGAACGTGCGGCCATGGGTGGCCGATGTCTCGTTGAGCGGACGAGCAGGCCCTCAGAGGCGCGTGTCGTGCACTTCGTCCTCGGTCTCCTCCTGGAGGGCGCTGATGGGCACCTTGGACATGTGTTTGCTGGAGTTGTGGCGGTGCAGTGGGAAGAGCTTCAGACGCTCGGAGTGGCTGATGGCCTGCTTCAGCTGGCTGGTCTCGTTCAGCAGCTTCTGGATGGAGTCGTACGCCTTAATGCGGCTGCCCTCTATCATCTTTGGTGGGTGGGGGGGGGGAATTTTGGGGGGCAGAATGTGTCAGAAACAAAACTCAGTCAGAAACAAAAGTACCAATTTCTACCTGTAAGGGTACAATTACTGAATTCATCATAGTATGTGCAAATGAATGCTGCAGATGGGAACGTCTTATGTCATATAATCGGAGGCGTAGGTTTGCTTCAGTGATGACATCATCACCGTTTGAGATTTCATCACCGGGTAACCCCAGAACGGAACCCTTGAATTTGCCTGCTCTTCCTTCACCCGCTGTGAGCACAGACCGGATTGGTTGGGAAGACCGTTAAGTGAGGGAAGGGTAGACGGCAGAGACCCACCAGGAAGGACTGACACTCCAGCAGAGGCTCGACACGGTGCTCAGACAGCATGACTGTGCAGTTGGAGAAGGAGAGCTTCAGCGTCTTTCTCAGCACCTGCAGTGTTCTGGGCAGTGACAGACATCCGTCACTGCGAGCCAGGGTGCTTACGGGTGCAACCATAGCACTGGAGGCACGTGTACACTGTGTATGCAGTTATGCTTTTTCATGCTTTTTATTATTTACATACTATTCCTTCTGCTTTTAGCATTGCCAACACTGCTAATGCTCTGTGTTCTGGCAGCAGCCGAGTCAGTCTGTGCGATTATTGTCTTTAGCCCTGAGAACGTTATGGGTCGTGTGCAAGGAGATGGTTGGCTGGAACAAACATCCTTAATTGCTGTAATTGAGTTGAAGCTTTCAAGCATCATTTAGGACGGGGGGGCAGCGTAAACACGCGTCCAGGTTGGGGTCAGACCCGAGCGAGCACTCACATGGGGTCCAGGTAGGCGCTGGGTTCGTCCAGGAGCAGGATGCGGGCCTTGCTCAGGATGGATCTGGCCAGGCACACCAGCTGCTTGTGGCCATTGCTCAAAACGTAGCCGCCTTCCTCCAGCTGGAAGTCCAGCTTGTCAGGGAACTGCTCGATGACGGACTTCAAGCCCACCTGAAATCCAGACGCCCTTCAGGTTTAGCTACACGCACAAAACTGGTATCAGGATGTTGCACCTGATTAGGATGTGTTTCTCAACCCAGCCTTCAGGCACATTTTTGCTTCCCTCCCAGCTCTCAGCCAATCAGAAACACCGAATTCCTGGCACAGGTGTGCTGGGAGCTGGGATGGAGCGAAAATGTGGACCGGCTGCACTAAATAAACAAGGATAATTAATTAAGGCTGGGGAAGAAGAAAGCACTTCCAAAAATGGGTCTACTGGGTGTTTTGGCTGTTTCGTCAGTTTGGAACCGACCTCCTCTGCAACTCTCCAGAGCTCCTCTTCACTATGGCGACCATGTGGATCCAGATTCATGCGGAATGACCCCGTCAGGATGAAAACTTTCTGTAAATAAGGCGGTGGGGGTGGGGCAGGGAGATTCAGGTGATCTATTCATTTTTAATTGGGGGAGGGGGGGTTGTTGACATAATAATAGTATTATTAGGTTATTGCTTTATTGGAAGATGTTGTGTAGCTCTTACACTGGTACCTGGGCAGCCATGCTGCACTTATGCCTAGTCGAACCCTCGACAGCCGTGTGTTTGTGACGTGCCATTTGCCTCATTTATACATCACTTTGGGGTGCATTAGTGCTAAATGAAAGTAAATGTAGATGGTAATGGGATGGCAGGGCGTGGCCCGTTCATAGTCACCTGCGGCACGACGCCAAAGGCCTTCCTCCAAGTCTGCAGGGGCACGGAGTTCCAGGAGATGCCGTCGATGGAGATGTCCCCGTCGGTGGAGGCCAGACGCAGCAGCGCGGACAGCAGCGTGCTCTTGCCCGATCCCGTCCTGCCCAGCACACCCACCTGAGGGCACAGACATTCAGCGGGAACCGGCTTACGGGAATCGCGGAGCGGGCAGGCTGCCGATGCCGCTGTAGGTCTCAGTCCCCTGGGCCGAGGCCACAAACATGGAGCCGCTCTGGCAACAATGACTATCAGCTTCAAACAGGTGCATGAAATCAGCGACTTCATGTTGCAGGAACTTGGCGGCTTTCCTGTTATCGTGTGCACATGCTCCACAGTCATTACCACCTCTGCCCTTGCCTTTAAATGTGTTTTTTTGTCATTTAAAACTAGATTATGATAAACCAGCTAAAGTTAAAGAAAGCTCTCCTAAGTTAACCCCATGTCACTAGCACAGTCTGAGTACCACTAGCTTGAGTAACATGATTATCATGCATTTGTGGGCTTAGATGGATTCATGGCATATGTAATGTGTCACAAGTGTGTTTCTCAGGTACAGTAGAGGCTTGTGCAAAGTCAGTCATTTCCTGGGATCCTCGTTTTTCAGAACTGAGGTGTGTCTGCACCCAGCAGTGATGTTTTTTGGTGTGTAAACCCTGTCGGACCGGGTGTTGGCGTGGTACTTTTGTGGAATATTTGTACTCTATTTGTACTCCAGGAATTTTTGTAATGAGATAAAAGAGGAATGTTTCTGGCACTGAACATCCCATAATAAAAGCACTGAGTACATCAACACGCTGAGCTTGGGTTACACACAGTAACCAACACAAAAGTGTTCGTACCCTCTGGCCGCCCTCGATGCTGAAGGACAGGTTGTGGAGGATGAACCTTCCACCCTCGGTGTACTTGGCGCTCAGGTTGCTGACCTCCATGTGACCTCTGGAGGGCCAGTCCTTGTCTTTGTGGCTGTTCTCAATGACCAGGTCTGTGTTCTTCCCCGGGGACTCCTCTGATGGCAGGTCGATGAATTTGAAGATCCGGTCGACGGAGCGCATCTTGAACACAACGTGAACCACATCTGTCTGGGTTTTGCAATGGTGCTCAGCTGCAAAAAACACAACTGGCCCAAGGTTTATGGGTAATGTTGACAGGTAAAGGTTAAGGAAAGCTAAGGATGTCTGCACTTCTATATCTACTGAATCTCGATGACCAATGTCTGTAAGATTCAAACAAGAAAGACTCGGGTGAGTAGAACACATGGGGGGTATTTTCCGTACATCGCTTAAATAATCCGAGATCAGATGCCTCATCCTGGATGAGTTAATGCCAGTGAAACTCCTTGGCTTCCACAAAACGTCAAAAAACACAGGCCGCAATTTTTCACGCAATCTGAGCAGGACCTTTTATTAGAGGGGTATGAGGAATTCAAAGATTTAATATGTACTAAAAGAAACACATCAAAAGTGGCCCAAACCAGAAAAGACGGCTGGCAAAAAGTTAATTAAATGTGTAAATAGTTTTTAGTTATTGTATTTATCACTTGAATGTAGTACATTTCCCTCAAATACAAGCACAGTCATGCAGGACATGGGAACAAGTTCAAGTGGAGTACAAAAATATATTTCAAACTGGTAAACACGACATTTCATTGATATATATATGTGTATGTATTAGTTAATTTTATGTATATGAAATGTAGGAAATCTTTAATATTTATAAAACATTCCTTTTGAAGCTAATAAGAAGAAGGCAGACAAAACCTTTGGAAATTCTGTGTAATGAGAATATTAGTGTGATTTTTGAATTCTTTATAGAACTGTAAATTTATTGCGTATACATTACCTGCAATGGCATGAAACGGCTCTTTATTTGCCTGCACTCGCAGGTGTCCAGGAAAAACAATTGCGAATTGTCTGGCAAACTGTACTCTTTGATATATTTTCCACATCACCTATAGTATACAAAAAGGTGCCGCTTACAAAATATCTCAAGGCGATGCACATTGTCTGTGTGGCTGTGAGAGCCCGACTTCACCTAGCTGGACTTCTACTATACGGAGCATAAATCTTTAAGATATAATATTCCATCTCGGCTTTTCTTTCGAAAAGAATATCATCCGGCAACAATAAAGAATCTTGCCGATCGTGCAAAACCCTCTCAATTTGAAATTCCCTTCTTATTATTTGTGCACCGACTGCAATTGGTCGCTCATCCATGAATGGCGAGGCCATGACTGAACGGATTTCCATGCACGGACATTGATTAAGTGTGTGAGCTAATCCTTGTTTACGCAGAACAAACCTGCTCTGAGCAGGATTTGGATGTGCTGCTATGACAACACATCCAGCAAGAGTTTCGAAAAAATGACAGATCCAGGATCATGCCAAATCGTCAACAATTACATCCGGCTAAACGAATAATCCACATACGAAAAATAACCCCATGTTCTTCCTCCACCATGACAAACTGTTTTCAATGAGAAGTGTTCATTCACCTCAGTCTGCTGGTGACTTGTATAAGCATGCAGTTGGGAGAGATGGAAAGTTCAGGTTCAGAAAGTACAAATCCGGACCAAGATTTTGTTTCAACCAACCAACTGATGTTAAAGAGTCACAGTCACAGAGTACTGAACTGATTGGTGGAAACAAAATCTGGATTTGTACTCTCTGAACCTGAACTTTCCCCCTCTGGCAGTTGGTTGCATGAGTGCGGGGTAGTAGTGGGGTTTGAAGTCGACATACCAGGCTGTCCACGGTGATGCTGGTGATGACGGCCCATTGGAAGGTACCCAGAATTAACATGGCCAGGACTATGATGATGCCTATTTCACCTTGTTTATCTTCTGTGGACCAGGAAAAATGCCTTTATTCACCTTAAATCCCATTTCACACACAATAATTTACACGTCATAGAAATCAGTGGCACGACTCTGGGAGTTTTAACTTGAAACCTGTTAGAGACAGTGAGGTGGGGCTCCCCAGTAGGCAGCTCATGGGATCCATCTGCTTGGCTAATTTGATTATTAGCACCCCCCCTCCCCCCCAATGGCCCTTGGCTTTGTGTTGTTGATGGAAATTGCCCCACTGGGCTGGTTTAGGCTTTGAAATCCACCACGGGTGGTGTCATTGTGTGTTGTCAGTTACAGAGCGATTTAACCCACTATCTGTTGCTTACTTGATGAACAGGAAGTGACTGCGTAAGGCAATGTTTCCCAGTCCGATCCTCAGGAACCCACAGACGGCCCAAGTTTTTGCTCCCTCCCAGCTCCTTGCCAGACATTCCACATTGTAGCTCCCTCCCAGCTCCCAGTAGGCAGTGGGTCCCCGAGGACTGGTCTGGCAAACACTGGCATAAGGTGATTCCTGGCCCATAAGGGACCAGCAGTCTCACGTCTCTGATCAAGTTAGAACCCAAGCAGCGTTTCAACAAGAGCTTCCGATGTGTATAAGCGGCCTTACGGTTGGTGCCGACGGCGATGAAGGCAGTGGCGGTGAAGAAGAGGACGAAGATGATGTCGCAGCGAAAAAGGAACCAGCGCAGCGTAGACAGGTAGAGGTACCAGATGGCTGTGTGGGTGTTGAGAGCTTTGTGGAACAGAGTCTCAAAGTAGGTCTGCCTCCCAAAGCCTCGGATGGTCCACAGGCCTTTGAGGGAGATGATTAGGTGGGAGAAGATTGGGCTACGGGCTGAAAGGTAATGGGAGAAGATCAGAGATCAGAGGAGACCAGGGTGTGACCTCAAGGGCAAAGAAAGAGATTCATTATTGTTTGGATTTGGCACTAGTTTATAAATAAGATCAGTGCCCAAGCCCTGAAATAACAGCAGCTCAATCCTAAATTATTCCAAGGTTTAATAAAGGCCTCGCGAGAAGCCGTAGCAGAGTTTGTGCTTTCATTATCCCAATCCAGTCCTTGGGGACCCACAGATAGTCCACGTTTTTGCAGAACTGGGAGGGAGAAAAACGTGGACCGTCTGTGGTTCCCCTAGGACTGGGTTGGGAAACATCGCTCTAACTGGCTGTTTGTACAGGCAGCATTTTACATACTGCACTCAAAATTTCATTCTGAAAATGTTCGGAAGGGGAAAAGGAAAGAGGAGATTATCTTTGTTTCCTCTTGCTGACACAGAAGTGTTTAAAGATGCTTTTTAAAGTGATGCTTTACTATAGCACATTTTGTTCACCCATGTTAGCTACATATTTACAACTGCATCCTATAATAATCTAACACTATTAATGGAGGAGTACTCATTTTGTTCCTGAACACCTTTTAAGAGAAACAGCGCAAATATGCCGCACATATATCATGAGGTCATTTTTGCCAGTGACCCTCTGACAGTTTCCTCAAACGTCCCAGGACGGCGTCACAGGAAATCTGCAGCCTGGATCATGACTCCACATCCCACACAGTGACACATCCTCTGAATCCGTTCAGGCAGCGCAGGACGTCCCAGCTGACTGACACAACCAGAACGATAGTCATGAAGATTGTGGTTACTGTGGAAAAGTGTTAGTGCCTAAAGAGCTAAGAGAGTGATAGGTGACCTCTGTCTCTATTCTCTCCCTCTCTGATTCACCCCTCCATCCCACTTTCTACCATCTGCATGACCTTTGACCTCATCTGCTGGTGCCCGGCCCCTGCCAACTCAATGGGGATCACTTGATCATGTGACCATGAGCCCATCCCACTCCATGTCGCTACTGAAAAGAGGAACACAGGACGTAATGATACTGAAATCCATAAGTCGCGGTTTGTCAGCCCAGTCCTCAGAGACCCCCCAACAGTCCATGTTTTTGCTCCCTCCCAGCTCCCAGTGTGCCTGTACCAGGTATTTGGTGTTCTGGATTGGCTGGGAGTGGCGGGGGAGCAAAAATATGGCCTGTCTGGGATTCCCCAAGGACGGGGCTGAAAGTCACTGATCTGTATCATGTCTCCAGCAACATCCAGCAGCTGCATCATCAGTCTCACCTTCTGCTTCCAGCTGCTTCAGCTGCTGTCCTGTACGAAGGAAGTACTTCCTCATCAAGATGAAGATGACGGCGAGGGGAATGGCTGCGATGAAGATGTAGGGGCGTATAATGGAGACCACAGAAATGGCCCCCAGCACGATAAGTGTGAGCTGGAGGGAGACAACAGAAACACGTGAGTATTAGGAGAGTCTGCTTTCTGTTTGATGCACTCTGTCAACCCTGAGATTTGAATCAATGACCTTCTGATAACAGGCACAAGGTCTAAACCCATTGTGTCCTAACCCACCCTGGCTCCAAAATCATGTCCTCCAAGCCAGATTCAAACCAGCAAACTAAGGATGACAGTGTTGTCTTCTACAGTCTTCTGCTCTATCAACTGAGCTATTGAAGGACCTATACAGTGGATATTATACATGGAAATTCAGCTGAACGGAAAACTAACAATCGATTTGAATTACAAAGCAAATGCATCCTAAATTCGGGGGCAAAAATTTGACTTTCAGTTATTCAAAATTGCATCCTTCGAACCGGATTCGAACCAGTGACCTAAGGATGTCAACTGACGTTTCACTACAGTCCTCCGCTCTACCAACTGAGCTATCGAAGGAGACACAATAAATGACTTGTCAGTTAGTGCTGATGGATAGGTAATCTAACCATTTAACAACTTATTCAGAAACAACAAATTAATAAAAAAGTGAAAAAAGTAATTCAAGCTAATTACAAACATAGAGGATAAAGTGGGACAACTGTCATACATATATATGGCTGTAAATGTATGAACGGTATAATAGTTGTCTGTTAGTGCAGATCGTACAGTAATCCAACCATTGATCAAGTATTTTCTCATTCTGAAACACACAGCATGTATATACATTGTTAAGCTTAATCTCACTTTATATGAATACAAAATAAAGGTTATAAATAAACTGAACATTTCAGGTTGTGTCAATAAAGATGCAGAGGGTGCAGTGATTGCTAATACACAGTTGCAGGGTTATTAATGAAGCATGCATAATACTCTGAGCATCAGGTGTGTGTTTTTCAGTTTAAATAGATAAACCCACCTGTATGAAATCGAACAGGATGAGGGGCAGCATGTCATCGATGGTCGCCATGTCCTTAGTGAAACGGTTTATGATTCGGCCTGAGGGGAGCGACACATAGTGAGAACGGGGACGAGTGCGGCGTAACCGCAGGAGCCGGCAGCGTGGCACCATACCCCCCCCCCTCCCCGGTCAGCACACTGACCTGTCTTCATGGTGTTCAGCACCACCATGGGGGCCCGCAGCACCGCCCGCAGCATCTTCTGGTGCAGCCGCTTAGACACGGTGAGCAGCGTGTGCACCAGCGGAAGGCCCCGGAAGAAGCCTAGGGCCAGGATGCTCTCTGACGTGGCCACATAGATGTAGACTATGTAGTAGGCGCTGGTAGGTGTGATGATCACGGCCCGGGCAGGCCCTGGGGAGGACGTGTTGCAGTGGACTGTCTCATTTTCCTCCTTCCAGATCTTACTGGATGAGTAGTAGGGAATAAGGTTTAAGACTCTTGTAGGACAGCTGGCTCATTATGCCCCTCAGTGACCGATTCTGCTCCCAATCCCCAAAAGAATAACTGCTAACCCTGATTGAGTGTTTCTCAACTCAGTCCTCAGGGATCCCCTGACAGTCCACATTTTTGCTCCCTCCCAGCTCCCAGCCAATCAAGAGCAACCTGTTACAGGTGTGTTGGGGACTGAGAGGGAGCGAAAATATGGACTGTCTGGGTTGGGGAACACTGCTCTAATGCTTCTGAAAATGACTCTAACACAAAAATAGAATTAATGTCCCTGAAGATGTTTTTTTACATCATAGAAAGATTGACATGGGAAAGAGACTCACTCTGTTAACAGGAATATCCCAACGACAGATCCAGCCACCTGTATCAGTCAAGGGAAATTATCAGAACGTGAATCATTTTGTAAACCTAATTTGGTTAGCGTTGGATTTCTTACTCTTTAGAGAAGCAATGATTTAGTTCATACTCATAAAATGTTAAAATATACATTCATAAACCCCTTTCCACATACAGCTTAATCAAGATTTGGCATGAAATGATCAGGATATGACAAAAGGGCATTTCTCTCACCTCCAGCACAAAAACAAAAGCAATGAAGATGAGAACATAAATAAGATTTCTGTTTTCTGAAAAGTAGCGCAAGTACGTGCTCCACGAGGTGGTTTGAAAAACATTATCGCGGTCATCTGCAAAGCATTCCTGAAAAATAACAGAAAACGATTCAGTTATGGTTCCAGACCTAAACCAGACCTAGACCTAATGTCTGTCAGATTTTACATTCAAATTCATTCTAGCTAAATTTAGCTTTTCTAAATCAGCAAACTGATGAGAGTGAATTCTTATATTTTATCATGTATGTATGTAAACCATTCAGTGAATCACCACCTCCAAACACAGCTGCCCACTATTGATATGTTTGGTATTTCAGACAATCATCCAGAGACTGTAGGTTCAGAACAAATTAGCACTGCTCTGAAGGTGAAATTGACCCAGCTCTAATCATATATTCTTTACTTTCACTGGTAACACTTCACAGTAAGGCTCCCTATTGCACTTATAAATGATAGTAACTCATTCATTAAAAACTATCATAACTTGTTTTCTATTAATGATTTACAAAGCCTTACAACTTAATTAATAACCTGATTATAAACCACTCATAAACACTTTAGAAGAGTAGTCATTGTGAAGTGGTACCCTTTTACTTTCCTATATAGCAGCTGTTCAGAAATGTAATCTTACATTTAACCCAACTGTCAACAATAATGAATGCCTGAAGACAGTAGTATATATACTTAGTGGCCATTTTATTAGGGACAGCTGCCTAGCAACCTTTACAAAGCAGCCCCTGAGCAGTTGGAGTCAAGGGGGAGGGGGCTGAACCACACAGCACCCCAAGCCTGCCGCTGTACTTAATAATGTGACGTTATTCTTTCCCATTGACGCCTCCTGACTGTAAAGGTGAGATTGTGTCTGGGAGTAACTGCGGTGCAGAGCAGACCAGCAGCCCACCTCCATATTCTCCTCGTCCACATCCTCGGTGATGTTGTACATGCTGTCTTTGGAGAGGCGGCGGGTGTAGATGTCCAGCTCCGAGGCCAGCTCACACTGCGGCGTCACCGACAGCTTCTTGCGAAAGGACGACTGCAGCTGCTCGCGGCGACCCTGGTCCTGGGCATTGGTGATGAAGGCCAGCACAGACTGCCGCCGTTGCCGCGGGAACTTCAGTCCGTGGTGGTACACATTGCCCCGGGGCAGGACCTCCTCTACCTGGTTGTCTTCAGGCACCACTGAGAACCGGCGATCCATCCGCTCATGGCCGCCTTCCTCTTCCGGCTGGATGAGGGAGAACTTACGAGAGGCCCCTAGAGGACTGAGGGGTACCGAGAGCTTCCTCCTGTCGGGGCCGCCCCCCTCGGGGGCCAGGGCCGTCTGCCGGAAGGACTCGGGCTGCGGGCCGGACGTCTCGTCGACGGAGATGCGCCGCAGCGTCTCGGTGAGCACGGAGCAACGGCGTTCGGCATTGATGCTGTCGTACGCCTCCAGGCCCAGCAGCAGCCCGCTGAAGTTGGGCCTCTGTGCCTGTAGCTCAGAGAAGGTGCCGTAGAAGTAGCAGGTGCCGTTATGCAGCAGCAGGATGCGGTCGGCCCGCTTCAGGTGCTCCAGCTTACTGGTGACCACGACGCGCGTCTTGGAGGCCATGAGCTTGCACAGGCACCTGCAGGCCATTGGTGGGAGAATGAGCCAATGAGTGGACATTAAAGGACATTATCGCTGTGGAATTCTCAAATCTGATTGGTCAGAAGGGTGTTGTTTAACTTCTTTTAAACCTGCAGAGTCCTAGCTAGGAGAATCGCTGGAGTAAGTCAATGGGCAATTTTGTACTGATAACTGGTTTATTGCTCCCCGGTCGCCCAGAGGAGGATGGGGTCCCCTTCCGAGTCTAGGTTCCTCTCAAGGTTTTTCCTTGCCATTGTTGCCACAGGCTTGCTTGGTGGGGTTCTGGCCGGTTAAATGTAAAATGCTTTGTGACAATGAAAAGCGCTATATAAATAAAATTGAATTGAATTGAATATGGTCATACCAATTGATGGTTTTTGAATTAACGATTAATGATGGTGGCTTGGATCGTATCTAACAAAATGTTTAAGCTCTGTCAGAAGAAAGTAGCTCTACTAATAAATATGTTTTCCTCTCATACACATGACCCTTACTTAACGCATTCAGATATCAGGTCTATTACAATGACATTTTACACCACAGCACGATGCAGGAACCTGCATCCAAAGCTCAGCCTTATATCTTCAGGGGATTTTAGTTTAAAGGTCTCATACATCATCGTTACTATCACAGCATGGCTGGTTAAACTCGATGGCTCAAATTAGGTGTGAATAAATATCGATCAAATAAGCGTTGTGCTGAACGGAGCGGAAGGGCCAGTCACACACACCTTTCGAATATCTCCTTTTCTGTCACGATGTCCAAGTGGGTGAAAGGAGAGTCGAGCAGGTAGAGATCTGCATCTTTGTATACTGCTCTGTAAGAGAAAAGTCTGTAAGCTTCCAAAATGTAAACTAGACAATCATTTACGTTTTACTTACTTGGCACTCACTTTTATCCAAAGGAACATGCAACTGAGAAAGCAGGGTTAGACACTGCCTGGGCCGACTGGGATTTAAAGGCCTTTCACAGTATGCCGATGATGGCATCACTCTGCTGACCCTGAGATTTGAACTGGCGGCCACAGCGCCACATGCTGCCCCAAAATGGCATCCTTCGAGCCGGATTCGAACCAGCGACCTAAGGATGTCAGCTCTTAACCCACTACAGTCCTCCGCTCTACCAACTGAGCTATCGAAGGAGCCAGCATAATAGCTCTCTGTTAATGTATTTAGTAAAGTAACGCAACCATTTAACAGCTATTTTCACATTCACAAACACAAAAATATTTATATATAGTCAATCTGTCAATCTTATAGTCAATAGAGTTTTATTCTACACATACAGTATAAAGGTGGTAAATGTATTGAACATATCAGGAGATCTCAGCAAAAAGATGCAGAAGGTGCAGTGACTGCTAGAATACAGTAACACAATTTATACTGATTTATAATTAATAATTTAAAATTATTCATATTTAGCTTGTTAACAGCATCCTAAATTGTACATCATTTTAAATACATGGGTAGCACTCTGTGTGTGTCTGTCTGCCTGTGTGTGTCTGTGTGTGTGTGTGTGTCTGTGTGTGTGTGTGTGTGTGTGTGTGTGCCCAGCAGTACACAGGCATCCCGTGAAAGGGTGCCCACGGCTGCCTGCGATAGGCTCCAGACCCATCCAGTCCCTGCACTGCATAAGTAACATGGATGATGAATATAATTGTTCCCAGTGATAATGAAACACTGTCAGAGGCTGCCTCAGCAAACATTTTGTTCAGTGTTTGGGTCTTGCGTGTAAGTTAATAATCGCTGCTGATTTCCAGGAGCTGCTGAAGGTTTTCCGTGCAGCTGCACAGCTGAAGCAGCCATACGGCTGCGCTGAGATGTTCATCTCTGCGGTACCTGGCCAGGCAGATGCGTGCCCGCTGGCCCCCACTGAGAGTCACGCCCCCTTCTATTAGAGAAGTCTTGTCTTTGTCTGGTAGAAGCGCAAAATCCTGCAAGAAAGCACGGCAAACACAAGCATCAGAGCTTATCCGTCTGATTCTGCGAGTGTATCCTGTGCCGTCTAACCAGAAAAACAAGAACAGAGCAACAAGACAAACTCAATATGATACTGTTTTACTTTCGAGAAATGCACAACATCTAGCTTTCCAAGAAGAATGCACATCTGGTGTGTGAACCTTGCATTCTTATATGACTGCAGCAATCCTACACACATGGAGAGATTATAGATACACCATGCAGTGGATAACGTAATCTTCACACTGCACACTGCATTGACCACAAGGAACAGGATCCTGGGGAACTGAGAGTGATCTGTTCAAACTAGCTGAATGCGTAGAACATTACAGAAAGAATATAACTTCATACCTGCTGAGTTCCACTGGGAAAGCATTCGGAGAGAAACAAATATACTTCAGTAATATTACATACAAACATCTGCTGTGCTGAACAACAAAAGAGTTAGAAGCAATATTGCTTCTATGAGAGCATTTTTCTAACAGTTCCAACAGCAATCACATTGTCCTTATAGTACCCACCCCTGCCCAGTTTTATGTCCAGGGTTATGTTTTTCTCCAAAGGTAATAAGGCTTTGAAGTTGTGGCTCAAGTTTAGTAACAAAATATTATAAATGTAGCGGCAAATGAAGCCGGGATGGATTTGGAACAATCTGAGGGTGTTTGAGCTGGAGAGTCACTGTACTGCACGCCACAGCAGAGCCATACGGAGGGCCTGGTGTTCTGTCACAAGGCTCCCTGCATCTCTGTGCCCAGAAACAAAGCAGGGGCTCTTTTTAGACCAACGATAGTGTGCAGACTGGCACCTGTCACTGCTCACGGGGCAGAACAGATGAGAGAAGAACGCCTCACAAGCTCTGCTGTGTACAAGCCTTACGGGCAGGTGCTCCAGAATGTTCCGCTTTTACATTAAATTTGTAATCCAAAGTGACTTTTTTTGAGACGGTGCTTGTATCAAATGTGGGTTGAGGGTCCTACAGTGAAACGACCCCGGCTATCCAGGGATTTGAACTGGTGACCTTCCAATAGCAAAGCCCAAACCTTTTTTGGCTAAATATGAATAAACCGTTTTTATAATCAGAGACCGTCACTATATTGTCATACCTTTCCTGATCCAGTCGACCCTGCAACTGCCCAAACCTGCTGTACCATATACTGTCCCCAAAAACCACATCCTTCGAGCCGGATTCGAACCAGCGACCTAAGGATGTCAGGTCGTATGCCACTACAGTCCTTCGCTCTACCAACTGAGCTATCGAAGGACATGATGCAAGTAGCCTCTGTTAGTGCAGATGGGAAAGTAATCCAACCACTGACCCGGCAAATCGAAACACACAACAAATTAACAAAAAAGTACTTTAAGCACAGAGTGCTAATCCAGTGTGCTTTCACCTTAAGTCCAGGTGTAAGGTAACTCGCTGGTTTGTAGGTACCAGTGGCCGCGGTGTCACTGGGTTATGGTGGGATGACGGTACAGACACAGAGTGGCACTGTACCTCCTCCAGCTGGCAGGCCTTGATGACGCTGCTGTAGCGATGCTCGTCGTATGCCAGGCCGAAGACGATGTTGTCGCGGACGGTGCCCGGCATGATCCAGGGCGTTTGCGGCGAGAAGGAGATGCGGCCGCTGTGCTTCATGGTGCCCTGGGTGGGGACCAGCTCCCCCAGGATCATCATCAGCAGCGAGCTCTGCCAACGGTGGACAGTACAAGATTCGTGGGTATTTTTACAATTAAGATTCTGAAAATGAACATATATCCCCCACAGGATTGATGCCATACTGCAGCGTTCCCCAATCCAGTCCTTGGGGCCCCAGAGATGGTCCACGTTTTCGCTCCCTCCCAGCTCCTTGCCAGACAGTCACATTTTTGCTCCCTACTGGAAGCTGGGAGGGAGCAAAAATGTGGACTGTTTGCAGGTCCCTGAGGACCGGATTTGGAAACACTGCCTTTCTGTATACAAGCCGAAATAAAATAGGACTATTGTAATTCACGCATGAGGTCATTTTCTGTTTTGTTTATTAATTCATACAAAAGTCTGAACACATCTAGTTTTAATGCTTTTGTCTCTATTTTAGCTATGCTATTCACTTTATAGTAAAAGGTCTCGAGGCAATGAAGTAATACATATCAAGACCAAGAGAAGTGTTCAGCATCACAAAATTTTTTAACTTTTCAAAATAGCCGCCTTTTGTATCAATGACAGCATTGCAGACTCCTGACATTCTCTGTCAGCTTCCAGATGTAGCCACCTGGACGCTTCTCCAACAGTCCTGAAGGAGTTTCCATAAGTCCTGGGCTCATGCTGGCTACCTGCTCTTACTCTTCATTTGAAGTCGTCCCAAACCGGCTCTGCAGGGTTTAGGTCGGGGGATTGTGGGGGCCAGACATCTGTCACGGCAATCTATCTCTTTGCTTGTTCACAAGATAATACTTACTGTATAACCTTAAGGTGAGCTTAGGGTCATTATCTTGTTAAAAAACAAATGATTTTCAGTATGTGTGTCCAGGCGTTTGACTATTATTGTATGTTTATATCGGTTTGTATGTTTTCTGGCTGAACTGGCAGTGATCAAGTCCAATTCAAAGAGATAAATTTGATATTGATCATGCTGCTGTTGGTAAATGGAACAAAATAATAATTTTCAAAAAATTGGATGATCCAGTAGATCATTCAATCATGTGACCACACCTGCGGATGCGTGAGACACTCTGCACATCATAAACTCATCCCTCCATTAGTGTGGCTTATGATTATTCTGCATGGATGCCTTTGTCTCACTATGGGGGACCGGTGTGATGTGACGTTTTTATAATCAGAGACCGTCACTATATTGTCATACCTTTCCTGATCCAGTCGACCCTGCAACTGCCAGCATCTTCCCCTTTTCCAGGTAGAGACTGATGTTTTTCAAGACGGGCGTCACATAGAGGTTGGTGAAGAAGAACCCAGCGTCTCCATTCGGGTGCTCGTTTACTTTGTTCTGCTTTTTGATCCTCTCAAAAAGTTCCCCAATTTCCTTAAAGCACAGAGAGAGCTGGGATTATTCTCCCTAAGCCTGTCCAAGCTACCAGTACTGAGTGTTCTGTGTTTAACATAGGGAAGTGGTCCAGTCTACCTTTTGTTGTTATTTAAAAATAAAACAAGAATTTCGTGCACAAATTACATTTTCTTTTAGAAACACTGTACAGATTAATAATTCACCCTTTAAGTGTGAATCACTGAGAAGCAAACTCTGCTAATAAAATGGATTATTACCTCAGACAACAAAGAGAATTTCAGGGCTAAATAACATAAGAAAATTGTATTATATTGCTTATTGTGGGACTCCCTGTTTCTCAGTTAAGTTTGCATTCCTAGTGTCAATGTTTCCCTTTTGTTGATCTACTCGGTCCCAGAGTTGATGACATGCAGCGACCGAACACGAACACTGCCTTTCCATACTAACCTCATCCCAGGAGGCACTAACATTTATCAGTTCTACGTCTTTTGTGGTCAGGTTATAGTCCAATACTTTGTATTCTTCTTTAGTAAGAAATTCCTAAAAAAAAAAAACCACATACACACACATTTAGAAAGAGAAAACACCAGAGTATACCTGCAAATACTACAGAATAAAATGTCGAGTCAGCCGTATTCTCAGATAGAGCAGTGCGTGCAGTTGGGCAAAAAAAAAAACAAGAGGAATGCAGGGAACAGCGTGTACTTTAGATATAAAGTATCCATGAAGCAGCAGTCAGACTGGGGCAGCATAAGGACTGAGTGAACCACAGGACTCTCTTCTGTCTGCAAAACCATACATCTACACTACATCATCTCTCCCTGGTGCATAGACCTGAAACCTGTGATGAATACTAGGATTGTTATTTGGATAAGAAAGGGTCTAATCCTTCTGCAGTATTATTGGTATTAAGCGATCATGAACCTTCCAGGTCACATAAAGCTTCCTCTGAAGAACCTTCTGACAGCAGCTCAAACTGTTTCGTTATTCTCAGTTATCCTCTGCTGAACCAGGCTACTGTAATGAGTATGAAAGTTTCTCTAGAGCTCTTAGAACAAAGTAACCATAAGTCAAAAGTAAATAAATGGCAGATCGTGTCGATTTGAACACGCGGGAGGCCTACCTCTAGCTTGTTGACCAGACCCACAGTGTCGTACCACATCTGGATGGAGTTTGGCAGCTGCCGGGTGACCGTCATCCTCAGCACCATGCAGTAGGAGGCCGTGGTAAAGATTTGGCGCAAGATGATCCCCTTGGTGAGTGCGTAGGGCAAGACACCGGCGAGGACAACCAGAAAGGCAGAGAAGAAGTAAGCTGCGCTGTAGACGTACCTAAGAGCGGCGATCTTCCTCGTCAGAGTCATCTCTTCCCTGGGGACAAAGAACACCGTTTGAAATTATAAAATTGCTGGGTAAGAACCATTTGCATACCACCAATGATGACAACGTTTAATATAACGATGCATGTTCATATATGAATTCATGTAGGATCAGTATGATGGAACATCCCTCTAAACAAAATGCTGATCCATATTCTAACCCATGAATTCTTACTGCCTGATGTTCTTAATGATGGTCTCCATGATCTCCTCCCAGCCATAAGCTTTGACCGAATGGATGTTCTCCACTATCTCAGAAGTGAGGGCCAGCCTCTGGCTGATCACCTTCGCTCTCTTCACTCTGAGGAAAAGGACAGCTACGTTCACGATCAGACATGCCATTTTTAAAAGGTCAATCTTGCTCTTGCTGTAGTTAAAAACAAAACAAATAAGAACCAGCTTAAAACTAAATACACATTCAGCGGTGATACCCGACAAAATGTCACCTTGGGCCCCCCCGCAAAGTTTTACCAATGATTTCACATATTCAAGGGCCTCTGTCAAGTGCTGGGCCCCCTGAATCTACTATGGTATTTATGCCCCTCTGAGGCCCCTGCACAGCTGTACCAAGTGAAGGGGCTGGGGTGGAGCTGCAGTGGCAGAGGGTGGACACCAGGGGGGGGGTCATGGAGGAGCCTCCTTAGCTACCTGATAGGGCCCATCCTCTGGGACAGGCAGGCCTGAATGATAGCCAGCAGTGTCAGTGAGCCCAGCACGCTGAGTGCATTGACGTCGATCAGATCCCAGATGAGGCCGACACACAGGATGCATTGCATGGGCGAGATCCACACGAAGTGTGCCAGCCCGAGGCTCTGAGAGACAGAAGGGCAACAGCGGCAGACGTGAGGAGAATGCTGCAGGAAGCAACGCGCAGCCGAGCCACAGCCATCACATGACCCAGTCACATGACCCAGTGATACGGTTCAGGCAGCAGGGCCTCTATGGATGATGCGGAGCCTGGGATAGCAAACTGTTAATACGCTTGCAGCTCGGAAGGCCTTGTTTGCCGGAGCAGAATGAGGTGCAGGTGAGAATTGCTTGGAGACGATGGCACTCCTCTCCGATATTCCACACTGCCGCACCACTTTCCAGGAGGGCTCCAAAACTCACTCTCGACTGGCCCTCGGAACTCTTACTTTCAGTAATGAACATTGTGATTCCCATATTGTTTTTTGTCACTTAATTATTATCAACTATATGCATATATATTTAAACTCTGAGCAGCATAAATGGATAGACAGCATTATTGCCATCCTGTCCTCTAATGTAAGGATCCCCCACCTTTCGGTCACTGTGGATTATGTGGTACAAAAATGTCATGGACCAGTAAAGCTTGTTGACTGGGATCGGAGAGTGGGATGCTGTCGGTGTATTGATTGGGGGGAGAGAATTTAGTGGAATAATTTTTTTCCAGAAGTGATCAGAACATGGGAACGTATTTTTGGAAATTAAAAAATCCTCAGTGCTCCGGTTTTAACTACTGGGGGGTTACAACCCCCCCCCCCCCACATAATTTTCACCCATGTCTATAAAAGTATTCAATAATTGAAATGGCAGTTTGATTACCATTTCATGAGACCATAAATAAATACTCACCTCGTCCAGTTTGTTTAGGTGTGTAGACATAAGACTGACCAGCTGGCCAGTGCTGATCTTGTCCAGGACTCGGCTGGAGAGCTTCAGAGTCTGAAGGGGTTGGAGATGTTCAAGACCCACTGAGACAGTGTTTCCCAACCTGGCCCTTGGGGACCCACAGACGGTTCACGTTTTTGCTCCCTCCCAACTCCTGGGAGCAAAAACGTGGACTGTCTGGCAGGGAGCTAGGAGGGAGCAAAAACGTGAACTGTCTGTGGGTGGCTGAGGACCGGGTTGGGAAACACTGTGCTAAGATTCTGCTCACAGGCATGCGTATTTCACATTACATACGAAGAGAGATGCTACAGGGGATGGATTACCTTTTTATAAATCAGGCTGAAAAGGGCGATTCTGATCTCCATACCAAGATGGTGAAGACCAAAGATGGCTGGTTGAAGAAGGAGGAACCGGGCTATGAAGAGGAGGCACAGTCCCAGGGCCAGATAGTAACCCTGTGCTCTCTCTTCCTCATGAAGAGGATCGAATGATGCAATGATCCGGCCCAAGATCTGAGGCTGCACCGTTTTCGATGCTTCCTGTGTGGGAGATTATTGGCGTGGTGCTTCAGTGCGTGGACAGAGAGGCAGAGTGAGGGAGCGGAAAGTCTGTGAGACTCTGCGAGACGTGGTACGGTCTTCATGCCGCACTGACGGGATCGGGGAGGTACTGGTGACACACAACACTGTGACACACATACTTGAGCATGACTCAGCTCCCTATCGCAGTAGTGAACTCTCACACTGTCTGTTCCATTGAACTTTCCCCATCACTATCAGCAGCAGTAATATATTCTTACATTTTCGTTAGATTAACACGATGAATTATTTATTACTGTAAACTGCAGAAACTGGATCCACGTTGTCTCGTCTCACAGTGTACATATATATAGCTGAGATGACAATAAAGATTACTTTACTTTACTGAATGGATAAGCTAGGTGTGGGATCATTAGCAGTGATACAGTTTCCGTATATATAAGCATAGATGTATTTGCACAGTAATTTTGAATTATGATCAGCGTAAATGAGATTGCACTTTTTTGGAAATATGCATGGGAAATATGTTTGGGAGAACATTTTAAAACAAATTTGAGGAAGCACTTCTTTACACAGCGTGTAGTTGGAGTATGGAATAGTCTTCCTGCTAGTGTAGCGGAAGCTAAAACCCTGGGTTCCTTTAAATCAGAGCTAGATAAGATTTTAACAACTCTGAGCTATTAGTTAAGTTCTCCCCAAACGAGCTTGATGGGCCGAATGGCCTCCTCTCGTTTGTAAATTTCTTATGTTCTTATGTTCTTAACCAAAAACTGGCCCATAGATGTTCTTTGTTTCAAGTCAAGTGTTTACCACTTGAAATCACAAACAGGACATAAAGTTCCACAGGTACACGGTGCGACATACTGACAGCGAGTGACTGAGGGAGGGTTTTCACAGGACTTACAGTGCATGACACAGGACAGTGTGAAGCAGGGGGGGCTGCACACATGGCTTTATATACATGTATGCAGTGCAATGCTGCCCCGTTACATGAGACATAAGATTACAGGTTTGAGGGCACTTACCCCGAAGTACAGCAAGATGCCATAAAAGACAAAAGGCCAGAAAAAACTCCGCCGCAGCGCATTGAAAAGTCTGGGTTTGTTCTTTGACGACGCAAGCTCCCTGTCCCATTCTCTACAGAGACAAAAACCAACCATTAAAACGTATGTCACAGCTGGTAAACGGGTGCCTTGGCCTTGCTCACATTGCTGGGGGGTGCGTCTGCATTTCCTGGGAGATTTGGCTGACTTATTAAGCAGCACGCTGGGATGTCGGGGATCGGGAAACACCTTACCGACTTGTTCATAGAATAAAAGTTCAAATTCCCAGCAGACACATTTTGGCAGATTAAAAAACGGCTGGTGATGTATCACTCTCCAGGAGTCTGGCGGTTTAAAAGGTCGTGTTTTATGCCCGTTTTGGCGGCCGCTAGAGTCCTGACGGACATGCACAAATAATGGGCAAATACACAGCGCTCAGCAGCTCCGGGGTCTGATACGGCATGTTTGCACCTTTCAAAGGAAATAGAGGTGACCTTTGTGTTTTTTTATTTAACGAATCCTGCTTCTTGAAGGGTGGGATTTATACACCTTCAAATTGCAGTGGAATACTCCGAAAAGAGAACAGGCTGCAAGAAAAGTCCTTGTTTATTTGAAAAGTGTCGTAGTGCAAAGATGCGAATCGCATCGCATTTCTAAAATTTCGGTTGTACAGCTAAAATTACAGCATCACTACAGGGGATAGTCTGTTTGGGAATGGATGAAAAAGGCACATTTTCGAAATGTAGGTCTGTGACAATTACCTACTGTAAATGCTGTCATTTGATACACAGACGAGTTATTAATTCATCTTCCATGCTCTCTCCACATTCATAAGCACAGATTTAGAAATAAACATTCTTCAAAACACAAAGAAGAGTTTTAATTTTGTGAACAAACATTTCATTTACGCCATTAATTACCAGTCACGGTATTGATTTTGCAAAAAAAATAAAATAATAATAAAGGGTGCATTTTGTTGAAAAGTGTTACGTGGTCCAAAATACAAACCGTTCAAGGCGTTCAGAAAGATGATCTGCTGTGTCAAAGGATGGAGTTCTATAAATATCTGAAAGATCTAATTTCTGCTTGTATCCTTTTTTCAAAATCGGTGACGTCCAACTACGAAATAAAAAAAGAACAAACATGTATTCTAATTAACGTCTTGCAGGTATTTTGAAAAGCATTTCTTTTTAGGTCATTTAGATGTTCTTTTCGCATCTGTCTCAATAAGATATTTGATTATTGTTATTATTATGTTTTTTTTTGTTTTTTTTTGTTTTTTTTTTTAAGAATTTAAGGATCCGTCGAAGGGACTTTCAAAGTGTACTTCAAAAGTTTCCAGACTGAAGTGGTTTAACAAGTTAAAACAGGGTAGAAAATCGTTGATAATCGAGTTATACCACTGACAAAAGCAGATAAAATCGTGCTGCATAAATATCGTTTATGCACTTGAAACATTCCACAAACACAACAGTATCATACTGTATAATTTTTGAAATTATTTTTTATTTAGTTTAACACAGAATGAAAGTGAAATTTATCTGTGAAATTGATGTTGCAGTATTTGCAAAAATATTTTAAGTATAATTGCATAGTCCATTATTTTTCTGACAAATAATCATAGACACTCACCAGAAGAAAAATCTGGAAAAGAAGCTGGCATCTTCGACAGGTGATGCCTGCATCCTGAAGCCACCGCCGGCCTGATGAATCTGAAGCTGAGAGGAGTCTCTCGCATCGGGCGTCCCTTTAGCGCTGCCTTTTGAAGCAGAGCGTCCGTTTCCTTTTCCACCTTGTACTAAACACCGAGTGATGTCACTAGCATCCGTTTCAGGAAAACTGACCTGGGGAGGGCTGTACGGTTTGCGTCTGTACCATGTAAACTGCAGCTAGGCTACTGGAGAGGTGTTTGGTCGTGTCGAGTCGGTGCGCAAAGTAGGCGCTGATTAGAGAAAGAGACGCTGCAAATCGCTGCCAAATGCCTGGAGATATCACCCCCATGCAGCCCCCTCTCAGCCGCGTGCTACTTTGGCACAACATATCACCACGAAAAGACATAGGCTGCGTGGACTGAAGCACAACTTCGCTTGTAAGTGTCTGAGAAAAGAGTCTACTGATTGTAAACTGCTTCACATGAAACCACAGATATAAAGTGCATTCAGTTATACAGTGTAGAAATAATAAATATATCCCGTTTAGGCGTGACCATATCCTGTTACATGAAAGTTAATTTTCTGTAGGCTATAGGCTACGCTATTGAGAAATCAGGTTTTATTAAATTGTATTTTTTACTTTTGCTGTTGTACGAAATTTAACAGTAGGCAGCGTAAATTGTATTTTTCACGGTTTATAGGGATTACCTCAAATAAAGCGCCATAGTGTGACGTGAAAAGCGTGCAGATGCTCACCCTGCTGTTATTTTTTGGAAGTAGTACAAATATTTAATTTAAACATTTTATAATCTTTTTTTTTTTCAAAAAATGGGTTGCATTTAAAAATGCATATATATATATATATAAAATCAGGGACCTTCTACTTTCATATACATGACACACAGGAAACAGATAACTGTGTAACCAGATACAGATAAGATGGGAAACCTAAAAAGGCACTTAAGAAATCACAAACAGAAAAATAATGTGCAAATTTTCCCTAATTATGGGGACCTTCTAATTTCAGTTCCGTTATTTAATATAAAATACATAACACACAGGAAACGGATAAGATGGGAAACCTAAAAAGGCACTTAAGAAATCACAAACAGAAAAATAATGTGTTTTCCCATACATGGTGGGTTTAGTTTTTCAAGTGCTGTGAGAAATGCAGCTTTCAGTTTCACATTTTTGTAACGAAGGAGAAAGTTCACAGTGACTCTAGCATGTGCAGAAGGCGGCCATTGCAGTGATTTATGTCAGTGATTTATAATGACATCTAAAATCTTTACCAAATCAGCTGCTAAACTACTTTACTTTATAAACAAATATGCATGACTGACAGTAGTATCTCTTCTGAATTGAGGCAAAGCTTTATATTACTAAAAACTATACATTTATTATTCATAACTAAAATACATTAGATATATATTAATATTCTTTTTCACCCTGCCAGTTTAAACTTGAAAAAAAGGTAAAATCCTAAAAGTAAATTAAAATCAATAATATTAATAGCCTAATTGTTATATTCATATATAGGCCTATTGCTATGTTAATAAATGGTTATGACATAAATATTAATATATTAGCCTAATATTTATTTATTTATGTTAATGTGCTGGGTCTTTTTATTCCAATGATGTCTTTTTAAGTGGAGACAATACAAATTATTTTATTTATGCGTCTGGATGCATGTGTTCTAACAAACCATCAATGTTACAACCTGTCAATGGAAGAACAGTACTGTGGTTAAGAATTGAACCTTCTAACCAGTATCCCATAAGATAAGAGAAGCTGAGACAGGTTAAATCCTCTGTTAGAGTGATCTGAAACTGGGACAAGTTAAATCCCCTTTTAGAGTGATCTGAAACTGGGATAGGTTAAATCCCCTTTTAGAGTGATCTGAAGCTGGGACAGGTTAAATCCCCTTTTAGGGTAATCAGAAGCTGGGAGATTAAATGCCCTCTTATAGTGATCCAGAGCTGGGACAGGTTAAATCCCATGTTAGAGTGATTTGGTGGGTCTATATTTTTCACTGAGGGAAAATGACTTTCCCTCATGTTTTCGTTGCACGCTTTTTGATCCATGTAAGCGGTTGGTCACTATAACCATGAACACTATATGCGGTTTCTACTGTATTCATTACTACGGTCTGTATCCAGAACCAGCACTGAGCGAGTACATCTGCTGTAGCTGCACACACATACACACACTATTGTTAATGTTTTTAATGATAAAAAACTAAATAGCTTGATGATCGTTTGATTTGATTTGAAGCTATAATGTCCACTAACGTGTTTGTTTACCGAAACGGCAATAGTGGAGCAAAGGAAGGCAATTTTGTATATTGATGAGAATTGTATGTCAAATTATTCTTATTTTATTAATAATATATAATAATGTCATAACGTATAATAAATTTATAATTATTGTGCATTTATTGTAATTAATATTATTTTCAATAATAATAATTATTAATTAAATCCCAAAAGAGCAATCCAAAGATTTATCTTCATCGGCTCCACAAAAACGAACAAAGGGACAAATACGCGTTGTTTACGTATATTCTACGCGTATTTTACGCATTAAAATTCACGTGTTTTTGCGCCGACGGCCCGCACCTGACGCACGCCGAAGCGGACACGATGAAGCGGCGCCAAGGCATGCCTGCCGGTGAGGAAAGTGACACTGACGACGAATGGGACGTGGGATACCACAGGAAAAACGGCAAGGTAAAATAAAAAAGGAAAAGTGTTTATTATAATTATATATTTATTTAAAAGCCGCCTGTTGGCGTCGGCTCCGGACTGGCGGTCTGCGTAAAACCACAATCCCTCAAGCGTAACTATCGCTCGGTACCTGTTGTGCAAGTTTATTTCTTGATAGACTTATCGATTTTTTAAAAATATTTGACCAGCCGGGATAGTGACTCGATGAAGGCTTAATTTCTTAGTTGCGGATGGAGATGTAACAGAGACGAAGCGCCTGACTGACTAGCCGCCAAACCTCATCACTGTCCGCCTTTTCGAACGGTGCCGGTGTTCTGTCGAGTTAGACTACCGTAGTGCTAATCGATAACCCTAACCGTATCCCCCCTAAAACCTTACCCTAACCCCCCCTCCCAAAAAAAACAACCCTTAAAATCCTAACCCATAGAACTTTACCCCAATCCCAAAACGGTAGAACTGCACATGCGCAGAAAGGCTCCATAGCACGTCTCGGTAGGTAGCTCAACTAGTCAGAATACCGGCACGCGGAGTGTCCGGAATGACGCTTCTGGCCGCACATGGAGGAATATCCGCACTTATGTTTGTAACGCGCCGCTTACGACGCCAGAGCATTAGCCTGCAAAGTTATTAGCTAATGCCCATGAAGCTCAAAAGCAGGTTTAAAACCGGCCGTGTGTCACAAATACATAATTGCGAATACATAATATTTGTAAATCATATGAAAGATTGTTTTTTATGTACCTTTTTTTGTCTTGAGATAGTGTTTAAAAACTATTTTATTTTTCCTCCCTAGAATACTGAAAATGGTTTGGTCTGAGCTCTGTTGCCATGTGCAAAATGCAAATGGAAAATGCATCGTGTCCGTTATAACCAGTCAGCGACCTGTGCAGAGAGGGTTGATATGGGTGGCGGGGGTCCTTGAAGATGATCTTGACCACAGGCGTGAGTGAGACACTTGGCTGGTGTGTGTGTGTGTGTGAGAGAGAGAGAGAGAGAGGAAGTGTCTGTCTGTCAGGGAGAGACTGTGAGACTGCATATAAAATCATTTTTAATTTTTGTATGTCCTCAGGGTTCACATGTCTCCGTACCGGGGTCTGAGGAAGACCAAGCGGTGATCCTTAAAAAGGCCATCAGCACTGGAGATGCTGAGCTTGTCAGCCACCTGCTGGACACGGGTAAGTTTATCCAGTGACTGCACACTGCCTGTGGCAAGGGAGAGAGAGAGAGTGCATGACTGGGTCATCTGTGGTATGTCTGAGTACAACACAATCCACAGTAATAAGACTTAGTTACCGTGATTCAACTTCTCCTAGCATCAGATGGGCATCAGGCATTGTCTTGGCCTGCTCTTGGTGACCCGTGCCCCTTCTCCTCAGGTGTGACTGTGGAGTCTCGTCTTGGTCTTGACTGGACGCTGCTCATGGCTGCTGTCTATGGGGCCCACTACAAGCTAGCCAAGCTTCTGCTGGACCGGGGGGCTGGTGTGAACTTCAGCAGCGGTACGCCCGCTCTCCGGAGCCTTTGTTTCCTGACACGGTGAACAGATAGTGACTCGCTTCACCGAATATGCCCGAGTCTCTCATTAAGCTTGGCTTCTGAATTTCATCACATTAATAACCCCTCAGGTTAGTTTTAATGGGATCGTTCATTTCTCTGAATTCTGAAGAGCAGCTGCGCACAGCAGATCTTGGCCTGATGATGTCACCACATACCATCTTCTTTGTAGTACACATGACCGTGAAATGTTTAATTCCTTATACGATATGGATATACCTGAAGGGGTAGTCCAGAAATATACATTTGCAGTAAATATCGTGTCTTTTACACCAGCGGTGCCCAACTCCAGTCCTGGGGGGCCAGAGCCCTGCACATTTTTGGGTTTCCCCTCATTTAACAAACCTGATCCAACTCCTTGTGCTAATTACCACACAACTCTTGAGCTGAATCATTTATGGTGGAACAGGGAGAGAACTAAGCTGCACAGGGCTCCGGCCCTCCAGGACTGGAGTTGGGCACCCCTGTTTTACAGTATAAATTGAACCTTCTAACCAGTATCCCTTAAGATGAGAGAAGCTGAGACAGGTTAAATCCTCCGTTAGAGTGATCTGAAGCTGAGACAGGTAAAATCCCCTTTTAGGGTAATCAGAAGCTGGAAGATTAAATGCCCTGTTATAGTGATCCAGAGCTGGGACAGGTTAAATCCCATGTTAGAGTGATTTGGTGGGTCTATATTTTTCACTGAGGGAAAATGACTTTTAAGGAGTTGCCAAATTACTAGACTCTGCCAAAGGTTTCTCTGGTCAAATAAGACTTGTCAAGTTGACTGTGATCTTTTCTAATCTGTCTATCAACCAATCCTGACAGGAACT